TTGTATAGATCCCTCTAATTTTACAGTTTCACAAATTAAATTATTTGGCTTTTACTAACAAGTAAATATATTTTCCATTACGAAAGCTACCATATTTTTTTAATGAATATTTTCTGCTTTGAAAGGGTCATGTCATCCCTTAAATGCATTTTGTTGTGTTCTTAGAGAGTGCAGAAAAGTTTAATTTAGTCTCTCTTGGTGCTGCATAGAAATCTTTATATTTTGTTTGGGTCGTATTTTTCAGTCCATTCAGATTTCCCTATTCTCTATTGTGTTTTCTGAACAATGACATCACAGTGTTTGCTGCAGAACTAAACAAGTTCATGGACTTCTTGTTAGGCAATTTCACAAATCCACAGCTCTGCATGTTTGTCTTCATTCAACATGTTTTTGGTAAATTTAATTAAATTTTTTAAGTTTCTGTGCTGCTGGATAATCGCATCTCTGCCATCAAACTACAAAAAATGACCAAACTGGGTGTAGTGGACAGTAGTCATTGGGAGTAAGACTTGGAGGAAGTGGGGTATGAAATGCCTCATTTGCATTTAAAGAGACAGCACCAAAACAAGTTGCTCTCAAACTCAGGGGTTAAAGGAGGACTTGCAGTAGAGGACTTCAGACCAAAGCACTGCAGTTCCACTTTGTAAAGGATTTAATTTAAGCATGACATGCCCACTAAATCAACTCTGTTCAGATGCTTCTAACCAAAACATTAAAATATAAACACCAGAACATCATAATTAATGACACAATAATTTTATTTATTTTATTAATTTAATCCAGGAGTTAGCAGGAGGGTTAAAAAGCCACTTTTTTTGTAGTGATCCCAATAAATAAAATAATAAGATCATTTTCCTAATCTACTTTTAAAATAAAGTTTTTTTACTATGGATATTGTCATAAATAACCCTTTTAGTTAATTTGAAACTAACAATTTTCCTTTGCTGAGAAATACCTTCATATAATGTTAGGGGTCACTGTGAGGCTTTTATGTTCATGATATCCCTTCAGACCAATAAAAATCAGTTTTTACCCTTGTAAACAAAACTATCTTGTTCCAGGTGACAAACCACATAATTTCAACAAACTGCAGATCATTTAGAAGCTTTTGAGACAGAAAATTTGAAAATAATAATAATTAGTTAGTGAAAGGATTCCTCTTTGTAACTCATTTTGCAGCTCATATTACAAGTAATTCATAACTTTTATTGTCACAAAAGACTGATTTGTTCATGTCTACATTTAAGTGATTATGTAGTATTTTATATTTTGCCAATAAATTAAGGAAACAAAGAAGTTTATGTTATTTCAGGCAAACTGCTGTTTTTGGCCTCATTAACTTTTAGGTTGGTACAAACTAATTATCAGGTGTGGGCATGATTCTTCTTTTGTTTGGCAACTTACACATGCATCGAGATGCAGATAATGTCTCTGCGTGGGAGGACAAGATGAGATTATGATCATAAAAATAGTTGCGTGATTCAGAATCTATTTTTATAATTTCCCACCCAGCGTGGCACAGGGACAGTTTGAAGCCCACACTTGTGGGGTTTTGTTCTGCATGTGGTCTCCACAGCAGTGAAGCTGATATGTCTCACTCTGTCTGCAGGACCTTTAGACATGTCCTGAATCGGTGGACTCTGTCGGAGGAGCACATGGCTGACCCCGACCTCGTCCTGTCAGATGTTCTCAGGCTCAACCGAGCTTACTGTCACAGGTCGATGTGAGTGAAGGGAGCATCCCCCAAAGTCCTCGGGCTGGGCAGCCCTGCTGTCATCGATGCTCAGCGGCACTGACAGGACATCCTTTAAAGCTGCTTCTTACAAGAAAACTGAAWTCTTAGTTACCTTTTGTGTAGTTTTACCTTCACAAGTAATCCATAATTAAATATTTTTAAAAAGCTAATTTGAATTTAACATTTTTAAAAGAACATTTAGTGTGGTAAACACCAGAATTATTTACCCTCCATCCATCCATCCATCCATCCATCCATCCATCCATCCATCCATC